TCCATGGTTGGTTTCAACGTGAGGAGGCAACAATTCTGGTTCTGTTGTTTCTTGCTGCGGATTAAGATCTTGAAGAGGCCCTAGATCTGTATTTTCTTGCTGCAACTTAGAATCTTGACTTGGATTGATTTCATTAATTGGGGACAAGTTATATGCCCCCGATTCATCATCGTTCCAATTATTATTATCCATTTTTGACCAATCCAGAGATCTATCAAAGCAACCGGATTTCGCCTGCAAAACAGAGAAAATCTAGCAAGTCTAATTCTACCATCGAGCTAGATATACAAGGCAACTCCATCTTCCAGAAACCAAAAATATATAAACCTAGTGAAATTTAGGTCGGAATCAGATTTCTTTTAACAGAATAATCACACAATGAATTAAATTAAGATCAAAATTGAACGAACATCTCTTCTAAATGCAACTGAAGCATTAATTCCTTAGTAATAATAGCCGATTTTAATGGTATCAGACCCACAAGAACAAGGAAGGTGAAAATAGTACTTACTTGTGGAAGTCTCTGTTTAAGAGACTTCTAGCCTTTATGATCTTCTCCTTTCTCAGTTCTCACTTCAGTACTTGCACTCATCTGGCGTGTAAGAAAAATTAGGAGAATTCCAGAAGGAGAAGATGATGACTGCTTAGGGCTTTAAAAGGAAAAGGAGAGGTATTTATCGTTCGAAACATTTTTATCGTTGGAAAGAATCGCGCGAGAAACCATAAAATGAAGGTTAAATGTCCAATTTTGTTATTTCATCTTTAAGATTTTGCATAATTTTCAACCTTAAACTTTTTTGTGCATATTTTTTATTCTCAACTAGAAAAAACATATTTTTTTTATTATTTTCATCAGTTAATCCATTAAGTTTATCCAAATATGTACATTTTTAATCTCTTAATTTAAAATGATAGATAAAAAATATACATATATTAAAAGTTAAAGAATTAAAAGTATACATATTTAGACAAACTTAATAGATTGACTAACAAAATGATTAAAAAGTGCATTTTTCATAATTGAGGGGCACAACAAGTGCATAAAAATGTTGAGGGACAAAAATTATACAAAACCTTCAAGTTGAAAGATCAAAATTGGTATTTAACCTAAAATGAAAGATTGAAATGTCAGGTAACCAAAGTTTTGGTTTAGATTTCAACCAACCCGACCAATGCCCAATTCTACTCATAACAATCTGGATAAAATCCTAGGATTCTTTCTCTCCCAACCAAACATGACTTTTTTCTAGAAAAGAAAAGTTATGTATCTTTTTTTGAAAATGAAAATTAAAATAAATCTCTAAAAAAAATATGAATTCTCAATGAAGACTGAGAATAGAGAGTTGAACAACTGTAATTGCATGTAATAGTTCAGGTGAAGAATGACTTACAGTACAGCTATTGTGATGACAACTTCGACTAGAATATTTGCAAGACTTGAGGTTAGACCTTAAGGTAGGCACTTTGATGATTAAGTTAGAATATAAGGGATTTTAGTAGGGGTAGGCTATTCTACAATGAAAACTAAGGATGTAATGAATCCATCTCAGATGTGGTGGTTGGGGGTGTATTTATAAGCCTCCAAGGTTCCTTTCTACATAGGAAATTCCCTTTGTTAGTCTTGTAGCACTGCAATGTATTGTAGCTCCATAAAGGTCCATGGATATGCACTAATTCCTGTGTCAGAGTATGTAAGATAAGGCCAATCATGATGTCATCCATTAGGAACAAAGGTGGCAAGGAGAGATGGGGTTATTCTATTATTTGTTCATCCTTGGGTTAGATGTTCAACCGTTTACTTGATGGTGGTGTTTGAATTGGTCCCTCACACTATTCTCCCTCAACGGTGCCTTGGTACTCAGCCATTTATTTGATTTTATTATGACTCTTGACCTCATCAAGAAAACTTTTGAAACATGGTCATTTGGGTTTGTCATGGCTTGCAATTGAACAGAAGAGCTTGACCCTTGGTCGTCGAGCTTTTAATGGCTTGTGGCCAAATAGAGAGGCTCTCAATACTTGGTCTTGTGCTTTTAATGGCCTGTGGCTGAACATAATAACCTTCAACACTTGGTCATTAAGCTTTTAATGGCTTATGGTTGAACAAAATAGCCTTCGACCATCGATTGTTGAGTTGTGGTAAAAATAAATGTTATCATTGTTCGTTTGTTCATCTAAAGAACATGTTCTTTTAAGAAACATTTTTGAGAAATGTGCTTTGAAAGTTTTAGAGTTTGCATTAATTTGACAAGACGTGTAATTAATGTGTCATAATGACTTAGTTTAGTTGTCTTTCCTCCTTTCCAAGATGATGGCTCGAACTGAGTTAGCTCTGGCAAGCTGAAGGTGTAAAGTCATGGCTTGTATAACTAAAGGAGACAATTAGGTTGTTTATTAGTTCTTCAAGTCCTGGGTTCAAACCTTTGGTTCTTTCTCTTGTTTCTTTTTGGAGTACTTACCACCAATCGATCAAGGAAAAATTAGATCAAACGATTTTTTTGAGCATACCCCTTATAGTAAATCTTACAAAACTGAAGAAATGTGGGCAAAGGATCCATTAAACGACCAAGTTGTCCATATAACTAACAAGTAGGCTAAGCCCATAAATGGTCCTCTAAAGTACCCAAAGAACACTTCAAAGATAGATGACCAAAGGGAACTATGCTTCATCCATTTGGGTGATCTTCTTCATGGGGTTTGTAGATTTAAGGCAATCATGACAATGGATGACATGGCTTGTTCAATAGAAACTTATAGCATATCAAAAACATTGGTTCTTCAGCCGCCCAACCTTGCAGAAAGCACTTGTTCGACCCCTAGAGATAGATTTTTCCCTTTTATGCACACTACCTTAGGGTTGGCTTAACCTTTCCTTTGTTAGAATTATTCATCAGTTTGTTGGAAAGCTACAATATTGGTTTAATGCAGCTTACGCCAAACATTGTTTGGTCAATATTGGGCTTTATACTCTACTATTGGATTAAAGGCAACGTCCCTACTACTACTATTTCCAAGAGCTTCTTTAGCCTCAGTGAGGTGAAGGGGGATAAGGGATGATATAATGTCTCCCCTAGAAGTGGAAAAATGTTGTTAAATGGTTTCTCCATATCCATAAAGTAGTAGAAAACCATGTACTTCTTTATGGTTGACACCACCTAGAAGTCAACAAAAGAAAGTAAAGCCATGAGCTAATGGAAAGATAAGTTTGGAGAACTGAACTAGTTTTATTTGACAATAGATGAACAAAGAGATCATGATCTTTTGGTCATCCTTTCGGACTCAACAAAGGTCATGAATGTTATGGCCTTGACAAGCCAAACCATGCTACTGACCGTTGCCCTTATCCTTGACAGTAGTGGATGGCTTATGACTCTAGGTCTTTAAAATTCCTCACTTAAACATGTTATATTCTATTTTTATTGATACATTACTTTTATTATTTTTGCAGAGAGGAGAAGAAAGATGGACGAACTTCTTAAAGTTGCTATTGGTCTAACTCTTCCAAAGGAGAAGAAGACCACTTAGGCTACTTAGCTACCAACTCTCTAGGAGGTGGCTAATAATGTTGCTCCATTTGTTCAGGTAGTACCCCCCTTGGCCTATTAACCCATAGATTGTGGACTTGGATGCCATAGCTACTTCTCCCAAAGAGAGTCAAACTCTAACGAGCAAAAAGAACACCAACTAATGCTATTGGTCATAGTAGGAAAAAGGCCAGATAAGGAGACCAAGCTGAACAGCAAATCAGCACTAAGGATGTTCAGAGGGCGACCTTCCCTCATATTGGCAATGTAAAGTGGCTATTTGTCATCTTAAGGATAGAGTTTCATGAAGACTTCACATTTTTGGAGGACAAGGTTCAACTTTTTAGACAATGTTTCATCTAGAACTTATTCCCTTTTAGGATCTTGATTAGGTGTAGCATACTGTTCGGACATTAAATGACAATAAGGTTATCCATTAGGCTCTGGAAGTAAGTTAAAGGTAATATACTATATTGTTATTTTGTTATAACATTATGTTGATATTGTCTCTTTATTTTGTAGGTGGTCAATCTAACTTGTGGTCTAGCCATTAACCATCCCAAAATGGTAAAGGAGGCTCAGGCCATAGAGAAGGAAAACATCGAGTTACAGACCAAGTTGAATAAAAAGAAGCAATTGGAAAGGAAATGGCAAAGCTCATTTGAGAGAGTGAATAGTTGAAAACTAAGGTTAAGGGGGATAAAACTAAGAGGAAAGATGTAGAAAAGAAGGTCATTCAATCAAAAGATGAGGTTGAGGCTAGGAGGAAGAAGGTTTTTGACCTTTAGAAAGGGAATGAAAAAATGGAACATAGGCACTAACTGTCGATACACAATGTTGCAAGAAATCACATAAACTCCTTCATATAGATGCTTACTTTTAGGTAGATCCTAAACATTCATTGCCTATCGACCATGATGTTGGTATATGATGACTATAGGAAGAAGTCTAAGGTGGTATACCTTAACTTGGACGCAACCAAGTTCAAGATCTCAGAGGAATGGAGGTCAGGTAAATAAAGGCGAGATGAACTAGAACGCTCCTTTTCTCATAGATATGAAGCTTCAATGGCCAAAGACTGATGTTGGGTGGTCTTCCCTCCTTCTATTCAAATTGTTCTACTAGAGGAAGAAGAAGAAGTTGATCTTGAGGGTGCCCAAGATGGTGATGCTCACAAACAGCTAGGTTAAAGCAATCATAGTTTTAGGATAGAGTTGGAATATGACCTCAATTATGAGCTAAATATATAATCGAGCCCTCATCCTTATGTTATAATTTTTGGACACTATATTTTGAAGTTTGTAATTTTTTGAGATAACCTCAAATGGTCATGAACAAACGATGGGACAAACATCTAGCCATAATTGGCCATACATATTTATGTTGTTAATCTTACTTTTGTTATGATTGTTATTCTATTTTACTATTATACTCAGGATGAAATGTTGTATAATCTTAATATTGTTATTCTACACTTAGATTTTTGAGTCTTAAGTGCTTGAAAGTTGGAATTTGTAATTTCGTACATGGAGAACGTTGTGTTCTAAACGTTATTGTGTTTTACCTTCTACCCTTTTTTATTCATTAGTAGGCCTTCTTCATGTTTTGATGTTGAGTATTTATTTTGGTACTAACCTCCCGGCATCTGGTAACTACATTGAGTCCCGACTAATTCGAAATCGAACCACGTCAGACCCGATTAGGGGGGAAGCTCTCCCAACTCCTGTTTTTCCATTTGCAAGACTTCAACTCAAAACCTTACTTAAGAGGAACCGATCTCCTTTCACTCAAACTTACAGGTTGTTGGTAAGACTTTATTGGAAGTGTTGCACTTCATTCAAAAACCTTGCCAAAAAAAGAACTACACTAATGCAAAAATACACTTCACAATTTAAGGTTAAACCTTTTGAGGTTGTTGACATTCCAGACCCTTGGCACCCTTTTCCTTTTAGAGTCTTGGAGGATATATGCACATGGATGTAGAATACCAACCACAATGTATGATCTTTCCTAGTTTTGGGTGAGTTTGCTAAACTTGGTTTCAAAATGTTAAGCTAGCCTTCTTAAGAATCGAATCTCCTATATTGAACTGCATTGGTTCGACTTTTTATTATATAATTTAGCAACGTTGTTTTAAACCTAGAGCAAAGCAGTTGGTCTAATTGGTTAAATTAGAATCAGTTATAAAAATCATTCAACTTATGATATAAACTTAGTGTGCAGTGAGACCTAGTCAAAGTAAGTCAAATCTAATAAAAACTCCAAAAAGTTGATCAAACCTATTGACTTTTGAACCATCTGGTTCACAAAGTTTTGAATCCATTTCAATATGTTTGTGCACAAGGGGATTCAAACCCCACTTCCTCAACGCACTTTTAGGTTTTGTACCATTAGACTTGTCACGCCCCAAAACCAAGAGCAAAACAGCACCATACACTTGTGAAAGGATCCTATAAATGCATAAGACTCAAAACTTACTTAATTCATATCTAGCAATCCACTAACTAAGATCCAAATCTCAAAACAAAATCTGGTTTTTATAAGCCAAACTTTACTAGACCAAGAGTGCACGAAAATTCATACAACTTCATGTCCAAAAATAATTTAATTAACGACCTAACTCCAAAATAATCTAAATCTAAAATACACATGGCTAGCCTTCTAGCCTGTTACTCCCCTTGGTTTCCCACGTTTCGGGTTACGCTACCTGAAATGGTGGACATAGAGAAACTATGTGAAATAATTCAATAAGTAACAATATGGATAACCCTTATTTCAAAGTTAAAGCATGCCAAATAGCAATTAGAACATAAACAGGAGGAAAAGTATCTTGATTATAAACCATCAATGCAAAATAAAACTCAGTAGTGGTCTTCTCAATTAGTCATGGCTAGTGTTTAACAAACTCCCACTAGGAAGCTTTGGGAATAACTAGTGTACTATCCCACTAACAAGAATAATAAGAATAAACCAATTTTCAGGAATATATATCAACATGTGCCAATGTTTACAACTCCCACTAGTAGGCTTCAGGACTTATGACCCTATGAGAGACAAAACCATGTAGGAGTTCAATATGAAAATCCATAATCTACAAATATGCAAGAGTTAACAGTAAAGTCATAGCTTACAAACAAATTTTTAGATTTTCAAAACACCTAAGTAAACTCCATGTAGATATGCTCAACTCAATAAAAATAATAACTTTACATTAGCCAATCATACTCATGTTTGAGTAAAATGGGTTTAGTCCATCCACCACTTCAAAAACAGTTTAAAAATATGCTTTTAAAACCTTTACCTTAAAATCCAAAAGTATTTACCATACTTTTACTTACCTTGCCTTATAGGTACATAACAAGCAAGGAATTCAAGAACTCAAGGCGCTTAAGGTGATTTAGAACCTGTACCACATCAATGAATAAACGAGATTACAACATAATTTATTTAACTAATTTGGTTCCAAATTCCAAAATCAAGTTTCTACCCAAAGAAACAACTTCCTCCTATACCTCCCATCACTTCTACCCAATGTTTTTGGGCTCGGCCCAATGGTTGACCGTTTTGGCCATCGAGTTTGGTTCACTC